GTAAGTTTACAATTTATAGTCCAATATAATGAAAATAAATTTTAACATGAATAATGGAAGGTCTGGTATACAATAAATAATTACATTGATAGTATTTAGTATCAGACATAACAATAACAATAAACCATGAAGGAGTTATATATGTATGTTGTTCGCAAGTGGGATACATGATCCGATATATATTTATATAGCAGATGATAAAGTGTATCAGGGCTTCCATTAATGAAAGTTTGGGAGGCATTTACTCCTAGATTCTGGCTTGTGACTTCCAAAATATAATGCTTTTCCTTCTTTACCTATATAATGTGACTTCAAATGTCAGACATTTTGTTCCAAAGTTTGAAACTTATGGAAGTTCTGGTGTATAATAATAAAGTATTAGCTAAAGATAATAATTTTGTGCTAAAAGTAGGTCACTGTACAGCGGCCCAATGAGAACCTAAATGTATAGTAACCTGAGACGCATATACATCAGTGCAGTCTGACCTGGCTATATACTGTTGGCTGACCAACATCAAAATCTCATCTTTATGTCCCCAATATTAGGGTCTTTTACATAGAATTCTATTGAAAAAGACTCTGCTGGAATTGATAATGAAAAGTTTTCAAATAATATAATCTGTGTAACAACAGTGTTCGACACTAACGCAGTCCCTGCGGTCCCCGAGGACTCCAAAAATTGGCAAGGGATTCCTAAAGTTCCAAGTCAGATGTCCCGTTGGGACTTAAAAATTCTTAATAAAAAATATACTAAACAATTAAAATTGATCATTAATCAACTTTAAAGTATTCATTTAAGATCGTAATCTTGGCAAAAAAATATTTATGAAACATGATATACTTGCAAAAAGTAAACCGGAAATGAAACATTTGTTTACAAAACACGAAAATTCTCCAAATGCCAAACATTCCAATGTCAGTATTTGCCGATAATTGCTGTATTTTCAACCACCATAGTAAAAGTGATTTGTTTTATATAGTTTTGTTTAATATTTGATGTTTACTATGGTGTAAGAACACTTACATTGTGAAAAAATTCGGCAATTCCATAATCAAATAGTGTACTAGATTTCGGATAAACAAATTCGGATGCATGATTTTTTTAAAAAATTTACAGATAATGAGATTTAGAGATTATATTTTAAATGCATATAGTAATAATTTGGTTCTTGTCTTTCTAATCATGAAATTGATATCATTACATGTATGTAAAGGAATTATATAATATAAGTTAGGAATTATGAGCAAAAAAGCTTTTTTGCAGACTAACTCTTAAATTGTCTTCTCTTGGCTAGTTTACACTTATTCAGGTAGACCTAATACAGCAATATTAATCTAATACAGCAATATTACAATATCAAATGAAAATTACTATCTGGAATATATAATACATAACTACAGACAAAGGGACAAAATAAATTATATCAATTGAAATCAGTAATATTTAAGACATATTTTACAAGACCTATACTCACGCCCGGCAAACTGTCGCTCCACTTCAAAATTGTGGTGTACGGTAAAACGAGCGAACGGCATTTCCGAGATAGAGCGGAAGGCCGATTTAAACGCCTAATTGTAAGTATTGTTTATGTTTTTGTCTTGTTATTCATTTAAGTTGTATTTTTTCGAAAAACGGAAAATGTAGTTCCGTGTAGGATTGATTTAGGCTTCCAATGATCTAAGCTGTTACAAAAAGAAAATTATATTAAGCCCGGGAGAACTTTTCTCCCTGACGAAGCGAACGACGATTTGTAGAATATTGAACTTCCCATTCATAGAAATGCCATACCCCTTCGGATTTCTTGAAAAAGTGTATTAGTAAATTATCAACCCGTAATAAGAACTTGTCCTTCGTGCAAACATAAAATTACTCCTGAAAGATTTCTTAAATTTGTAAATCGATATTTTTCGAAAGTAAGTGGAGCGAAAGGGCAAGAGATGGAGCAAAAAGGGGTTTCGATGTTGAGCGCGCAAGGCGATATTCTTTTTGACGTATTGAGAGGAAGTAGTCTATGATTTTTTTATATATAAAAGCTATAGAAGTTAAAAAACCAGTAATGACTCAAGTGTTGAGACCATATATATTATTCTTTTTAAGACAAGTAATAAAGTGTGATATCCTTTCAACGACTATAGCTTAATAAATGGTAATCGCGAAGGTGTCACCTATGGCTGCCGTGTAGATTGTCCATAATTTATGTTCGAAATTTGGATGAGGCCCCGACCATAAGAATTCATACCACATGTATGCATGGCATAGATAACAGGATGCGCACTTATTTCGAGGTCAGTCATGATTTTTCACAGGTTATTTACATTTTAAAAAACGTGTGTCCGTGCAAATTTTTGACAAAATCGAATATTTTCAGTTCTACCGCGAACAAATTTTTCCGAGCAGGTACGTGTAACGCGTTTTCATGAATTTGTAAGGTGGGGAAACGCTATGAAAATGGTTGACAAAGTGTCAGTGGTTATAAGGCAGTAACACGTGTTCCAGTTATGTTTCAAGATAATCCCTCCCTTATTTAGCATTGTTGTTTAGTTTATTATTTTTCTCTCAAGGTGTAAATAGAAATCTTTTATAATCAAACACTGCATAAACTAAACAACAATGCTAAATAAGGGAGGAAGTATCTTGAAAACATAACTGGAACACGTGTTACATCCTTATAACGACTGACACGATTCCCCACTTTACAAATTCATGAAAACGTGGCTTATATGTGTTTGCTCTGAACAGGTACGTTAGAGCTATTAATTACAGAAAGTCAATGTGAACTGAACTCGGTAGTAGAGATCCATTTAATTTAATGTGTTCCATGCATTGCATAACTTTGTTTCAGTTCTGCACCTTGAATATCTAAATTTTTTCGAAAAACATAACATTTTGGCGGGAACAATCGCGTTACACGTACCTGCTCGGAAACATTTGTTCGCGGTAGAACTGAAAATATTCGATTTTGTCAAAAATTTGCACGGACACGTTTTTAAATGTACATAACCGTGTGAAAAATCATGATTGACATCGAAAAGGTGGCATCCTGTATTATGCCATGCATACATGTGTATGATTCAATGGTCGGGCCTCATCAAAATTTCGAACATAAATAATGGAATCTACACGGCAGCCATAGGTGACACCTTCGCGATTACATTTATTACGCTATAGTCGTTGAAAGGATTTCACACTTTATTAGTTGTCATAAAAAGGTATATAATTTCGGTCTCAACACTTGATCACGTCTTTTTTAACTTCTATAGCTTTTATATATAGAAAATCATAGACTACGCTCCTCTCAATACGTCAAATTTATATCGCCTTGCGCTCAACATCGAACCTTTTGCTCCATCTCTTGCCCTTTCGCTCCACTACTTTAGAAAAATATCGATTTACAAATTTAAGGAATCCTTCAGGAGTAATTCATTTTGCACGAAGGACAAGTTCTTATTACGGGTTGATAATTTACTAATACACTTTTTCGAGAAATCCGAAGGGTATGGCATTTCTATGGCTGGGAAGTTCAATATTCTACAAATCGTCGTTCGCTTCGTCAGGGAGAAAAGTTCTCCCGGGCTTAATATAATTTTCTTTCTGTAACAGCTTAGATCATTGGAAGCCTAAATCAATCCTACACGGAACTACATTCTGTTTTTCGAAAAAATACAACTTAAATGAATAACAAAATAAAAACATAAACAAGACTTACAATTAGGCGTTTAAATCGGCCTTCCGCTCTATCTCGGAAATGCCGTTCGCTCGTTTTACCGTACACCACAATTTTGAAGTGGAGCGACAGTTTGCCGGGCGTGATACTGTAAACACTTCCAACTGCATGTATGAATTTGTTACCAAACTTAATAATGCTGGAAGGTTATCACAAATGGGCTATGATCAACATCCTTAAACAGTAGAACGAAAGAACAATAATAATAGGTTGCATATCTATATACTGATACACAAAGGTTAATGCTTTATTCTTAAAATTAATATAAAAAAAATCAGGGACTTCAAACTTAAGGTAGTGCACCCCTAATGCACTGTCTCCACTTTGAAGAGTATTCAAATAGGCTAAAATCACTGTAAAGTGTATTGAAACCTAGGGGGTGTGGGTTCAAACCCCAGAAGGGGCAATTTTTTTTCTTTCTGTTTTTTCTTTTTAACATTTTTTATTAATCTCTCAGACCTCCTATGGAAGAAAAACGTGTTTTATTTTAATTATATAATTATTGTAGGTATTTATTTACTAAATAATGCCAAATTTAATAGCAAATATGATACCAGATATTTTCAAAGTTTAATAAAATAAAAACTAAACGGTAAAAGTATTTTATATTTTGCAAGACCATCCAATATACATTATAGAAAATTTAGGCAAACTTTGAAAATAGCCCCTCATTTTGGAAAATTTTAGGGATATTTTAAATAAGGCTTTTTACATAGGGAAATGGTCAAATTAGTGTTAAAAGTGGGTGGGGTAGGGTTACATTTTTAAACATATTAAAAACATTTCGTATAAAAACAATCATTTTGCTTGTTTAATTTGTTACCTAAATGTCATTATTTATTTCTTATCAATGAGCAAAAGGAAAACATTTTTCATAATGATGATATTATAGATTATTTAGAGTTTCCTCATTTCTGAATAAATCCCTTCTAATGGCAAAGTTTTAGTTCATAAAAATGTCCATAACTCATAAACCACACGGTAAATTTTGTTTAAATTTTGCATACAGGTGACATTTAAGACATATAACTGTCCTATGTTGTCAAATTTTCAATTCCTTATAGTGCCCATTAGGGGTGTACTACCTTAAGGAAGGGACTTTTGAATTCAAAAACAGATGTCCCGTTGGGATTCCTGGCTGAAAAGTTAGTGTCAACCCCTGACAAGTACATTTAAAGAATTCATCCAGGTGACGAGTTATTGACAAACAAATTTTTATTTTCTATTTATAGCTGCTGACAAACTGATCAAGATTTGGGGTGCATTTGATGGCAAATTTGAAAAAACTATCAGCGGTCATAAACTGGTGAGAAACTATTCGTTAGATTTTAAATTTCGATGAATGCTATCTGATAAACCAACTTAGAGGTTGCTGGAATAGGATCAAAGTCACCGATGTTAACAAAATACTTTGCTACTGTAGTATTGCAAAGTACTTAGTCTACTATAGTATTAATGTTGTTTTTTTAGCTCACCTGTCACAAAGTGACAGGGTGAGCTTTTGTGATCGCTTTTCGTCCGGCGTCCGTCCGGCGTCCGTAAACTTTTGCTTTAAATGACATCTCCTCATAAACCACTGAGCCAATTTCATCCAAACTTTACAGGAATGTTCCTTTGGTGGTCACCTTTAAAAATTGTTCAAAGAATTTAATTCCATGCAGAACTCTTGTTGCCATGGCAACCGAAAGAAAAATCTTTAAATATCTTCTTTTAAACAACCGTAAGAGCTAGAGCTTAGATATTTTTCATGAAACATCTTCTAATGAGTGTCTACCAAGTTTGTTCAAATAAAAGCCCTGGGGTCAAAATTGGCCCCGCCCCGGAGGGTCATTGATTTTCGCTATATGCATATAGTAAAAACTTAAAAAATCTTCTTTTAAAGAACTGTAAGAGCTAGAGCTTAGATATTTGGCATGAAACATCTTCTAGTGAATGTCTACCAAGTTTCTTCAAATAAAAGCCCTGGGGTCAAAATTGGCCCCGCCCCAGGGGGTCATTGATTTTCTCTATATGCATATAGTAAAAACTTAAAAAATCTTCTTTTAAAGAACCCAAAGAGCTAGAGCTAAGATATTTAGCATGAAACATGTTCTAATGGGTGTCTACCAAGTATGTTCAAATAAAAGCCCTGGGGTCAAAACTGGCCCCGCCCCGGGGGTCATTGATTTTCCTTAGGCCATCCTTAAAAAAATGTTTGTTTGCAGTAACCCGACCCAGAATTTTTAAGGTGGGTAGGTAGGTCGATTTTTTTTTTTTTTTATTGAACTGTACTCCCAAATAAACATGGAATTTCAAAATGCTGGACAATATATGCTTTGATAATCTGGTAACAATTAATAAATTGATAACTGAATTCTAATTTAATAAGACCTACATTTTATTTCTTCTATTAACCTTTAAAAGAACGAAAACAAAGCACAAGGCATAATTTTTTGATTCAAAAAAATTTATTTTTTTTCCAGACCATGAAAAAAAATTTTGAGTAGGGGCAAATTTTGTGAGTCAGTCGCGTTACTGCAAACAAACATTTTTTTAAGGATGGCCTTATATGTGTATAGCAAAAACTTAAAAATCTTCTTTGAAAAAACCCAAATAGCTAGAGTTTAGATATTAAGCATGGAACATCTTTAAGTAAATATCTACAAAGTTTGTTCAAATAAAATCCCGGGGTTCAAAACTGGCCCTGCCCCAGGGGTGTCATTGTTTTTAACTATATGTGTATAGTAAAAACTTTAAAAATCTTCTTTTAAAAAAACCCAAGAGCTAGAACTTAGATGTTTAGCATGAAACATCTTCTTATGGGTGTCTACCAAGTGTGTTCAAATAAACAAATAAAAGCCCTTGGGTAAAAATTGGCCGGGGGGGGGGGGGCTATATACAGGTGAGCGACATCAGGGCCATCATGGCCCTCTTGTTTTAAATAAGAAAGATTTTGGGTATTTTGATTGATTGATTTTGGTTTCCTTGGCAGGATTTCAGGATTTTTTTCTCATCAAGTCTTGGCAGGCAAGTTTCTACTAAATTTTAGGTATAATAACACAGTCACAGTATTTTTGCAAAATGGGAAGAGAATATTTGATTTAGGTCAAATTTTAGTGGAAACTGCATGATTTTAAAGAATTTTCATGGGGGAAGACCCCTGTTAATGGCCTGTGCTATAGGAGAAACAAAAGCCCTTGGATTTGAAATTAATGTAATTTATGCCTGACTTGGGCAAACCTGAATTTTTTTGTCTTAACAAATGTTATTATCAAGGAATTGTCAGACTGATTAGGAATGTAAATACATTAAAACTGTTATGAAACTTATGCTTTTTGAATTTATGATGCTGGATAATGGGTTCAAGGTTATAAAGTAATTTCCTCAAATCTTGGGGTATTTGTTCAGAAACTGTCACAGAATGTACACTGACCAATGAAAATCCTAGAGATTAGAGAAAGTGCTGAGAAAGTGTCATAGCCTTGAGGTTGGGTCATATCCCTAGTTTTACTGTTGAGCACTGAGAATATATTTGAGTTTGCTGTCAGACTGGTGGTTTTTAGCTCGACTATTCGATAAGAATAAGTAGAGCTATTGCAGTCACCCGAGCGTAGGCGTCGGCGTAACCACTTATGTTAAAGTTTTTGTAATAGTACAAATATTTTCAAAGTCCATAGACATATGGCTTTGAAACTTTGCACACTTGTTCACCATCATGACCCCAACCTGTAGACAGGAGGAGGTAACTCTATCAAGCATTTTGACAGAATTATGCCCCTTTTTCGACTTAGAATTTACGTTAAAGTTTTTGTAATAGTTTAAATATTTTCAAAGTCCATTGACATATGGCTTTGAAACTTTACACACTTGTTCACCATCATGACCCCAACCTGGAAAGAGGAGGAGGTAACTCTATCAAGCATTTTGACAGAATTATGCCCCTTTTTAGCTCGACTATTCGATAAGAATAAGTAGAGCTATTGCAGTCACCCGGGCGTCGGCGTAACCACTTATTATGTTAAAGTTTTTGTAATAGTTCAAATATTTTCAAAGTCCATTGACATATGGCTTTGAAACTTTGCACACTTGTTCACCATCATGACCCCAACCTGTAAACAGGAGGAGGTAACTCTATCAAGCATTTTGACAGAATTATGCCCCTTTTTCGACTTAGAATTTACATTAAAGTTTTTGTAATAGTTCAAATATTTTCAAAGTCCATTGACATATGGCTTTGAAACTTTGCACACTTGTTCACCATCATGACCCCAACCTGTAAACAGGAGGAGGTAACTCTATCAAGTTCTTTTAAAGAACTGTAAGAGCTAGAGCTTAGATATTTAGCATGAAACATCTTCTAGTGAATGTCTACCAAGTTTGTTCAAATAAAAGCCCTGGGGTCAAAATTGGCCCCGCCCCAGGGGGTCATTGATTTTCCCTATATGCATATAGTAAAAACTTAAAAAATCTTCTTTTAAAGAACCCAAAGAGCTAGAGCTAAGATATTAAGCATGAAACATCTTCTAGTGAGTGTCCACCAAGTTTGTTCAAATAAAAGCCCTGGGGTCAAAATTGGCCCCACCCCGGGGGGTCATTGATTTTCCCTATATGCATATAGTTAAAAACTTAAAAAATCTTCTTTTTAAAGAACCATAAGAGCTAGAGCTTAGATATTTGGCATGAAACATCTTCTAGTGAATGTCTACCAAGTTTGTTCAAATAAAAGCCCTGGGGTCAAAATTGACCCCGCCCCAGGGGGTCATAGATTTTCCCTATATGCATATAGTAAAAACTTAAAAAGTCTTCTTTTAAAGAACCTAAAGAGCTAGAGCTAAGATATTTAGCATGAAAACATCTTCTAATGAGTGTCTACCAAGTTTGTTCAAATAAAAGCCCTGGGGTCAAAATTGGCACTGCCCAGGGGGGTCATTGATTTTCCCTATATGCATATAGTAAAAACTTAAAAATCTTCTTTTAAAGAACTCAAAGAGCTAGAGTTTAGATATTAAGCATGAAACATCTTTAAGTAAATATCTACAAAGTTTGTTCAAATAAAAGCCCGGGGTCAAAACTGGCCCTGCCCCAGGGGTGTCATTGTTTTTAACTATATGTGTATAGTAAAAACTTTAAAAATCTTCTTTTAAAAAACCCAATGAGCTAGAACTTAGATGTTTAGCATGAAACATCTTCTTATGGGTGTCTACCAAGTCTGTTCAAATAAACAAATAAAAGCCCTTGGGTAAAAATTGGCCCGGGGAGGGGGGGGGGCCTATATACAGGTGAGCGACCTCAGGGCCATCATGGCCCTCTTGTTTAATTGTCCAGGACATAACTCGGAAATCATAAGAGATATCATCAAGAAACTTTGTAGGTTGATAGATCACATTGATTAGAAGTGCAGTGCAAAGAACTGTAACTCTGCCTTGCCTAATTTTAGAATTATTGCACTTTGAACTTTTTCCACGGAGATAACTCTGAAACTACAAGAGGTGTACTTTCCTGTGTCCAAAACCTATTCGGGGAGCATCACCCGGCTCAAACCGGGCTCTTGTTTTACTATCAAGCACTAAGAATAGTCGAGCGTTGCTGTCCTACCGACAGCTCTTGTTATTCAGTCATTTCATGTAGATATTGTTGACTTTTATTTGTTTTTTACAGGGTATATCTGATGTGGCGTGGTCCACTGATAGTAAATTATTGTGTAGTGCTTCTGATGACAAAACGTTGAAAATTTGGGATTTTGCCACGGTAAGTCTATGATGTGGTGAGAAATTTCTAAATTCATACATGTATGACCTATATTTTTTATCTATATTAAGATATATGAGCCGCGTCACGACAAAACCAACATAGTGCATTTGCCACCAGCATGGATCCAGACCAGCCTGCGCATCTGTGCAGTCTGATCAGGATCCATGCTGTTCGCTATCAGTTTCTCTACTTGTAATAGGGTTTGTAAGCGAACAGCATGGATCCTGATCAGACTGCGTGGACGCGCAGGCTGGTCTGGATTCATGCTGGTCGCAAACGCATTACGTTTTGTCGTGACGCGGCTCATATGAAGAGTTTGTTTATGTAAACAAAAGTAATTTGTCGCCTTTGTGCAATAACAGAATAAGTCCTAAATAAAATAGCAGTTAATCAGTTATTGCACTAAGATGAAGAATTGTTTTATTTCTATTCTAAATAACTTGAATATGTTTAAATAAGTGATAAGGTATAGGAATATCAGTGATTTATTTCAATTATAGGAGAATGGGGGCGAGGCCTATGTAGAGAACAAGTTGCATTATATAGGGATAATAACAGAAAGTTGAGAAATGAGGAAAGCTGTCCATTTATATGTTAAATTGTGATACAATATCATCTTTCTAAACTACAAAGGCTTTTGTGATCTTTATTAGATATATATAGAATCTTAAAAACATAATTTGTATAAGAAAACTGTGTCTTTGGATTGTGATCCTAATTTAGCCCTAAAGTCACTAAATATGGAGTAAGCGTAACAAAGGGAAGTCATCCATTGCAGAATTTCTTTGAAATATTCTTGATGGGAGCAACATCAACTTAAAGTCAACACAAGGCCATATCCCCCTAAAGAAAATAGAATCTTTTTTTCCTTATGAATAAGTTTCATCAGAGATGTTAATTGTTTAAAAATGTGATGGCTGATCACAAAATTACTGAAAAATTGCCTTATTACTGAAAAAATTACCAAATTACTGAAAAATTACCTTTTTAGTGAAAAATCACCTGATAACTGAAAAAAAACTTGATATATTGGATTAAATTATTTTTGTCTATTTTGCCACTATAAAACATGTTTTTCATGCTTATATTTTACAGGGCAAGTGTATGAAGACCCTGAAAGGTCATAGTAACTATGTGTTCTGTTGTAACTTCAATCCACAATCTAACCTTATTGTCTCAGGATCAGTAAGTTTTATATATTTAATAGTTTTTTTAGCTTGTGTGTTTCGAAGAAAGAGGCAAGCTAATATGATCGCTGCAGCATTGTCTTTGGCATTGTATTGCAAAAACTTTTGTCAAAGAAGGGCATAATACCTACAATGATACCTTTAAATCTGTGAAATCTGACAAAACTACTTTGTTAAATTTTCATATTTGTTATCCCTAAAATTGATAATAGACAGTCCCAAAATTGAAAAGCGGACAAGTCCATTTAGGTTAAGGGTTAAAGTTCTCATTTAAGCCAACTTTGAAATTGCCTTGATGGCGAGAAAGTGTGTTCTGACTTAATGTTTTGAGCTTAAATTTTGTTACAGTAAAAACCCGCCTTACGACCACCCCGTTTTTGAGACCAACCCGCTAATACGAACGATTTTTTAAAGACCCGAATTCTTTATTCTTTATTTTAATGGTCGCTAACCCCGATTTTGAGACCACCCCGTTATTCCGTAATGCGACCAGTAAATTCAGTCCCATTTCGTAAATTCTGTACATTTTGAAACCCATAAATACGACCGCGGGCACTTTCTCACCTTGATATTGACATGCGTGTATATTGCTGAAATCTTTTTGACACGTGATGTAAACAACAGTTGCCCTAGTTTTACGACATTTAACGACATCCAGTTTACGGCAGAGGTCAAGGTTACTTTGTATCAAACCCGGAAATGATAAATAATATTGTCGATAATTTCTTAATTTCACACCTTTAATGTCATAACTGGGGGATTAAAACATCAAAGTATTGAACAGAAAACTTTCAATAAGTTTTTTAGAGGTGTTGCTGCTATCATTATCTCTTTCGTTCCATAATTTTAAACAAATACGATTAGGTTTTTGAAGTTGTTATCGGCGATGGAAACTGTGAAAATAATTAAAGGTTAATTGTTCGGTGTGCTTTGTAGTAAAATGGTGATTTAATAGAGTAAGTCGTGTCATTCTTTTAACAAGAATGTAAAAATATGTTTGTGTTAAAAGATATCCATAATACATTTTGTACCTCTAAAGAAGTTTAAGAATTTTATAATGTTAAAAAGTAAAAGAAAATAAATGAAAATAAAAAAATAATAGTTATCTTTATATCTTCTCATTTGAAATAGGTTAGCCCAGTAAATGGTATCCCTTAATATATTGCCTATTTTTCTGTTTGGCCAAACTCATTAATGAGACCAACCCGCTATTAAGACCAGATTTGTAAAGTCCCTTCATTGGTCTCATTAGCGAGTTTTTACTGTACTTGCTTTGGTGGGCACATGGCTATATCAAACACAAGATATTGTTTTCATCATATTTTTGTTACATTTTCCAGTTTGATGAGAGTGTAAGAATATGGGATGTGAAGACTGGGAAATGTTTAAAGACTCTACCAGCCCACTCTGACCCAGTTACAGCAGTTCATTTTAACAGAGATGGTTCCCTTATTGTATCTAGTAGTTACGATGGTTTATGGTAAGTTTCCTTCTTTCTGCTTATGATTTTCCCCAAGTTGAAAATCTAAAAATAGAAAAAGAGCAAAAAAGGTAACTTCACCTTAAGGCTCAGATAATTCAAAAAGAAGTCTGGTGACTCCCTTTTTTCCCCATCACTTTGTAAATAGTTAAGAATTATTTTAATCATGCGAAGTTTAAGAAAAATCTCTGCACTAATTTACATTTTCCTTTCTTTTTCCTCACAAAAAAATAGCAATGCTGTAGGACCAATCTTTAAATAATTAAGAGTGACGGAGTGGCTGAGGAGTTAATGCTTCAGACTAGTAATCTAAGGATTGCTGACCGCTTGGGTTCAAACCCTGTCAAGGGGGCAAGCTGTTGTTTCCTTTAGCAAGAAACTTTACATTCATTGCTTAGCACTAGTTGGTTCCAGGAACAGATTCAAGTGTGTTTAAATAAGCTTATAGCTTTCAACACAACCAAACTGAAATAAATTTGTATAAACTAAACTAAATAATTAAAAAAACACAATTTTGTAAAACTGATAATGAAACTTTTAAGTATGTTACAGTCAGGAAAAATAGCCTAACAAGACAATATGTAGAAGTTTTCGTATTATATTATAGAAAACAAAATGTTGTGTTGGAAGAAAATTAGAGCAATGTTTGATGATTTTAATATTCCTCAACATGTATGCAATTCAATTTCAGCCGTATATGGGATACAGCCTCTGGTCAGTGTTTAAAAACGTTAATAGATGATGATAATCCACCAGTATCATTTGTTAAGTTTTCACCTAATGGAAAATACATATTAGCTGCCACTCTAGACAAGTAAGTAATATGTTTTACGAGAGACCTGCCATATGTTATTTTAAGTTGTCATATCTTTAGTGAGCTTTGTAGGAAGTAAAAGAAATGATGTTATATTATTATTACATTGTTTTAGAAAAAGTTTAGCAGCTTTGTAGGAATATAAAAAATGGTGTTTATTAGTATTACAGTATTTTAGAAAAACTTTGGTGTGCTACCATTTTAATGTTGAGATGGTATTTGGATACATAGTAGTATAAAATCAGAAATCTCTATGCTCTTATTGTTGGTATTCAATGATAGTGTGACCTTTCCTCTCCCTGATTGTGTATAGAAGGAGTATGAATTGCAGTGTATGAATTGCAGTGTATCAATTTCATTTAATGCAACTCCTGTTTTCCTTTTGTTTTCAGCACATTAAAGTTATGGGATTACAGTAAGGGGAAGGTTTGTATAGGAATGCTTTTTATTGTCATTGAAAATTTTTTGTTGAATTAATGATTTTTTAGTTTGTAAAGAGTTTATAAAAACATTATTCTATAAGTAATTGAAAAATAGCAGACTTTAAAACAGAAGTTTAATGAATTAGTTAAAATGTGTCGGTCACAAATATATCAATAAGTATAGAAGTTGAGATTTATATTATAATTTATATTTTTAAAGAGGGGTATGGAAATTTTCTCACAATGTCTAAATTTGCAAACTATTGACAAAATTGTGTTTACTCGGCTTTTCTGGTTTTCATGAATGTGATGAGGTACTCGGTCATTATTTGAAATGTAAGAGGTGCTTTCCTGGCTGAGGGGTTAAAATCTCTTGACTTCAAATAACATGCCCCTCATCCCTGTCAGTTCAAATTCTGTCAAGTACCTTGGATTTCTTTAATGTGAGGAAGTTGTCCAGCTGTCATACAGAGCGTGGGTGGTTCTAACCAGATTCATATTCATGCCTGAAATAATGCTAAGAGTACACCTGAGGACTTTCTTCCTGTAGAAAAGCTGGAGAGATGCCTAGGCATGATCTAGACTGTATCAGTATAACTTTAAACCCAACTAAATTGATATATAAGAATATATTTGATACATGTACAACCTCATGTATGTGATTAATGCTTATCTGTGTCCATTACTCTGTTTCAGTGTTTAAAAACCTACACTGGTCACAAGAATGAAAAGTATTGCATTTTCGCCAATTTCTCAGTCACTGGTGGAAAGGTATGTAATTCTTTCTTTTTTTCACTCTATACCTTTGAAGGAATGTAATTTTGTAAGCTTGAGTATTCAGTTAAAAAGATTGGGCTATATGTTGACCATAGCCTTGACTTAAAGCAAAGTGGTTCAGCACTTGTTTAAAATCATTCTGATAAATAATACTTTACTAACAGATCAACATAAAAACCGGCAGATTCAAACACAACAACATTCTATTCCGTGAAATCTTAAAGCGTAATAAAACTTAATTAATTTGAGGTGTAATTTTCATTGTAATATTAAAATGTGAATGCAATTGTAAATTTGTAATTTTCAAATGTAATTGTAGTAGTAATTTAAGGTGTAATTGTAATCGACTGTTTTACAGTGGATAGTATCCGGATCTGAAGACAACATGGTGTATATCTGGAATTTACAAACGAAAGAAATAGTGCAAAAATTACAAGGACATACAGGTAAATAGAAACTGACTGATTTTATCAACATGTTGTTGTTAATTTTCAAGTATAAAATTTTTATTCATTATGTATGCATTTATTGCTTGATGGAATTCTTCATTTTGACTTAACTTTGATACCAGTGTTCAGTCAGGCCTTTATGAAAATACAATCTTTATTGGAAGCCAAAAAAAACAAACAAGAAAATTAAAACAAACTGCAAAAGAAATATGGTCAGTACAAATGTATCCTCACTTCATCATCAACCCTTTACACGCTAAATATCTTAAATTGACTTTTCAATCTGGTTAAAACTATTCATTATTTTTATGGAAAATTTCCTTTCATGCATCAACTAAATGGCAAATAGTGTGCAGGGTTAGGGTTTAAGTCACTATCATTACTACAGTAAGTATTCTCTAATCAGAGAGTTAGTGTGTGATTCAGGGGACATATATTTACCAAATATTGATCTATGTGGGCTGCTCATTTTAAAGGAACTCTACTGAGGTACAAAAGCATAAAACATAATATTTTAATTAAGAAATAATATATCTCAAACTGTGATTTTAATGCTCAATAACATCACTGTTTGGAGTTCGGATGCAGGGAATATGATTATGTAGCACGAGTGAAATAATGATTCGCATCTGAACAACAAACAGTGATTTTATCAAGCAATAAAATCACCGATTTTGATATATTATTTTGATTTTAACACGACGTCAACAAATAAATGCTGCCGTACCTGATATTTAGCTAAATTGTGCCTGATTTGTTTCCATACTTATTGTCAGCGCATCACATTTTTAGTGGTTACGTCACATGTATAATGATTATGTCACATGTTTAAATATAGAACGTCAAACAGTGATTTAATAGCATAATAACACAAACTTTTGATTCTTTGTTCAACAGGGAAAAATGCGGGTCGTGTTAGAATTTCTTATATAGACCAACTGGGACACTTAGAACAATATGCAAAGATTTTAAGAAATATACCTAGAAATAAATTGAAAATTGTTTTTTTGTACCCTTCTTAGCCCGATTTGACTGAAAAGAGTTGCAAAGTTTTTATTTTCACAATAAGAATAATTTTTCTGGAAGAATGGAATGAGTGAACAATCTGAAATTATGCACACAAGTTATTTGTCTTGGTGTACTTCAAATTAAACAGTAATCTTGAAAAATTATTCTTTGTCCCGTCATGTCTCAAACCTCAGATACTGATAAATATTTGTTAAAAGTTTGATATTAAACATCTCTTAAGTATTATTATATTATACATATACAGATGTGGTTTTATGTTGTGCCTGCCATCCCACAGAGAACATCATCGCATCAGCAGCTCTAGAGAACGACAAAACTATAAAACTGTGGAAAAGTGACGTATAGCATTTAAACGCATATATCTCATAGTGTCATAACTTATAACTGGGGCAGCTGTTCACGTAGCACCCATTACATTACCATCGTCATTATTGTGGAATTGTTGTTGCCCGGGGCAAAGCATCATAGTGAAATTATAAATGTCAACCCGCGATCAAACCGGATAAAACGTGCTCAAAATTGTTCACGCCTCAAGATGTACTCGTGCATTTTTTGTATCGTCATCAGAATCACCCCAAAAAAGACTCTTGAGTAACTGGAGTGTGACTGGAACAGCTTTAATTGTTAAAAATGCAGTTTTGTGAAGAATATTTATGATACCGGATAGAATTTCACTGAAATGGAGTTAATTTATGTGTGGAATGAAGTCTAAATTGAAATTCAGAATTCTTGCAAGTTTTTTTTTTTTTTCTACATAAAATCATGTACATGTACAGTGTAAAGAAATAAAGTAGAAAGTAAATGTCCTAAAGGATGACATCAGGCCACCTTTACAGATTACTTCCGACTTTGTTGAATGTTTAAGTTCTAGAGTTAGAAACTGAAAACTGTCACCGTATCAGTCCGATTAAAAAAATAATTTCAAAGTAATTGCAATTAATTAGAAATTTTCATGGTATAATCATAATGTAATTGATTACATTTATACGTACTCAACCTTATGTCTGCTGTGTGGCAAATATTTTGAAAAGCACCACTTTCTGTAATGTATTCATTTATTAAGGTCATAGGTCATTAAGTATGATAGATACAGGTGACTGAAAAGATGAGTAGGTTAAATGTTGTGTTATATCATTATTTTGTACAGATCATGTTCTTGTGACAAGGAGACGAAGAAAATAATTTTTTACAAGGCGATACAAGCTTAAGACTTTACTCATGAGTCATTACTTACATTATGTTATGTCTACACTTCTATAATTTTGTAGTATTAGTCATGTTTCTGTTTAAATGTCTGTTATCATAAACTCTTGTTGAGTAATGACTGTAAAAAAGTCAAAGTTTTCAAATTGTCCTTGTATAATTTATGAGCTAACATTTGTAAGCTTAAGACTTTCATATGAAATTAATGTAAGTGTAAATTTAAAAGAAGCAAAAGATGTTACAAGACACCAAAAAATAATAAGGTTTTAAAAATAGTGTAATTTTGGGGCTTAATTGTTAATATTTTTTTTACAAATTATCTCCCTTTAAGTTGGTATTTGCAGCTTCATTGTAATTATGAGATTCATAGAATAAATTATAGGTCAAATTTACTAACATTATAATTATCTTTATATACTTGTAATAAAAATTTGTAAAGGTAATTTATGCAAAAGAAAGTTAATAATAAGCATCTGAAAAATGTGACGGAAAAAATCATGTTGAAAAAGTTAATTCCAGATATTAAATACAGCAAAATCTATTAAATCAGATATTACTTATTTTATGTAATTTCCTTTTTCATGGTTATATATATATTCAATTTAAATGGTTACTGTCAATCACAGTATATATACATTAGTACGGAACCAGAACCATGTTAAATATTTTTATTCCGAGTTTGGTACAAGTCAAGTGTGTTGTGAATTACCAAGTGATTTAAACAGACATAAATATTTTAAACTCATTTTTGTTTGAAATGATATAAAGTTTGTTAAAGACTTAATGAATGAGACTCAAGATTTTCTTTTCTTTTTTTCCTTTGATGTATGTTTTGTTGTTGAATGTTGAACAATTTTGTTTACTGTAAATCATTTTTGTAATAAAATAATAAACATAAAATGACATTTGTACATGATTCTCATTTTTCGTTTTGGGCTGTGCATTTTTTTTACTACATGATGTAGATGTCAACCCTTTTATCTAGATAACAATAAACTTTAAACTGCAATTTTGACTTTGATGTTTTTGATACACAAATTGAATTGTAGGTACATGACCTAGAAAACATAACTCGTTTTGAAAAAAAGAGAATACAATTTTTTGTGATTGCATAGACAGTAAGTTGCTGATACTTGAACTCAAACCTACTGAATTTGAAAGCTATATTAGGATTTTCATCAGTCTAGAGCCAGGCCAGCCTGCTCATTCTTTAAGTGGCATAATGAGTTGAACAGGTGTATCTGTCATTTAGGCAGCAAACGGGTTAATAGAATAGAAAAATTACACCTTGCAACAACAACAACAAAAAAAAAGATTCATTTTTTCAAACTAGTATCTTTTAAACTTCAGTACAATGATATCAAATTGATTTTAATCTTACTTTGAAACAGAGGAGTTCACAAACACTTTCATCTTTATGCATACTTTATTATAAAACTTATTCCAATATTCAATCATTAACATGCAACATACATATACTTGTAAATAAGTACTCATAATACTATCCTCTGTAAATATTTTACTGTAAATTCTTTCAAAACCCCCAGTGGATTTAATATAAAAAAACTTGACTTTTCTTTAATTTTTTCCTACAAATTACAGCCCTGTACCCCTTTCTTTCCCCAACGGGGCCAAAAAAACCTTAATTTGTTTTTTCCCAGGAAAAATAAAAAAAAAACTTTTTACTAAATTTGTTTTAGATCCCATTTCTGCCCTTTTAAATTTTTTGAATAACGTTTAGATTAATTTGAAAAAACATTAAACTTTGGGGCCTTTTTATTCCAAATATGTTAAAAATTTTTTTAAATTTGTTTTTCCCCTAATTTTGATAATTAGACAGGCCCCCAGGGGATCTATTTTTAATACCAAAAAGTTCCAGTGATTTGGGTCAAAATTATTTACTTTATTTTTTTTGGGTGTTATTACTTTCAACCAAACGGGGGTTTTGGATTTTTGGGAAATTTTCCAGCTTTACTGGGGAGGAAACCTCCGTGCCCCTTCGGGTGCATCAATTTCAGGCGCAAACAGGCACCGGGTTTAAGAACCACCAACATTCCGAAAAGTAGCTGAATAAGCTTTCTTCACATTTAAAAGAGCCTTGGGATAATTTTCCATGTAATTGAAAATGGCAATGTTTTAATAATCACTGTTTTTGGGGTATGTTAGGGGCTTTCACCACAAAAAGGTTTGAACCCATGTTATTATCTAAAGTTTGTCTTTGTTTCAAATAAGTAAATCAAGGTTGCCATTATATTCTTATTCAAATTGTTCCCAACATGACTCCACAGGTTCTTTGCAATTTCTGAATAAAAATCCTCGAACAGAAGTTAAAGGATGTGAAATTTTTTTTCCCCCATTTATTCCATTTTTCTTCAAACAAAAAAAGCCTATCTAGTGACCTAGACTATCGACTGGTTTGACTTTGAAAAATAACTCCTCCTGGTTTTTTTTGAAAAGGGGAAACCCTTTTTTCCCTGGCTGTAACTAAAAAACCAAGCTCTTCGTGACTCGGGATGCCATTAATTTTATTGTTATTTTTCCTCGATGGCTTGGTAGCGTTATACTAATGAGAAGGTATATTTTCCTTGTATGTCTGAAAATTCTAGAAGAAATAAAGACAATAGTCAAATTTGTTTTTTGTTTATCAAAATAGTGGCCTATTTTTAAAACAATATTTCAGAGATATTAGACCCTTTACCTCGATTATATTACGTGAAACAACGCACTTTCGACCCACCCTCTTTTTTTTAGGCCTGAAAATGTGAAAAAATGTCCTATTTGGCCTGAAACACATTTTTGTTTTCGTTTGGGAAAATGTTGCTAAAAAAAATGAGCACTTTCAGCGCCCCCCCCCCCATCTTAAAGAACACAGGGGGTTGCCAGAAGGGGGATTGCCAAAGAAAATTTTGGGGATCTTGTGAGAGGCTTAAAAATGACCCCCAGGTCGATCATAAGGTAACGTGTAAACCAACGCTGAAAAGCCTTTGACTCTATCTCAACCCTTGAGATTGGGC